TGGGATGGCAGGGTTAGGTGAAAGGTTGGACTCGATGATCTCAAAGGTCTTTTCCAGCCAAAGTGATTCTATGATTCTATGATTCTGTGATTATCAAATGGAACTTGTGCTTTAAATCCATGTCACGGGCAAACCCATACACTCTAACTCGTATACGTAATTTGCCTCACGTGCTCACTGATTAGGGATATGCCAGGTTACTCTTTGTCAACCCAAACAATTAAACCTAATGTCTTGGGATGTTTTCACCTTTCTGTCTTTAATGCTGGTGTTTGCCTTGGAATGAAACATTCACACACATCTTCACTGTACATCATAGCTATTCCAAATATGTTGTGCATTGAGAAAGTGCAGAATTTGGCTTCTGGCTACCATAGTGTGAGGTGTAGTGGCCTGGATCCTCATGTTGTGTTCACTTACTGTCAGCGGTGGGGCCAAGGTTCCTGTACTTTGCTCTGCTTGAGAAATCGAGACTGGATGCTTCAGTAGTGCCATTCCTTTGATCTAGCACATGCACCCAGGCAGAAAGGCAGAGTTCTCATAAATGAAGAGCTGATAAGAGCATTAAGCTGTAAGGCAAAGGCTATTAAATGAAATCTGCTTTTTGCATTTGTAGTAATGTGATATGCAGGGGAGACTCAGTAAAGTAAATGAGCTGAAGCGAAACAAGAGATGAATAACTTGCTGAGGGCCTGTCAATTGTCATAAATATTCAGTCCTCTTCTCAAGCATTAAAGCATGTGATACTTCAGATAGGCCCTGCTCGCTGCCTCCCAGACTCCACTAAACAGTCAAACTGAAGCACATATGTGAATGCACCTCTGGGACATGTGTGTGAGACATACACTTGTGTGTATTTCATTTACTTATGGTCTATTCTCCTCTCCGGTCCATCAGCCATCAGGACAGTTTAGACTACACTGTGTGGTATTTACAAAATCCTTTCTTTGTGTTGGGATGACTCATGCCTTTAATTTGAATTCTGTAAGTGCGTGCAAATATAGACAGATGAGATAAAACTAATCCCAGGCTTTGAGAAATAATTGCTGTCAGGGTACTGGAGCATCTCTCACACAGGGTGAGGCTGAGAAGGTTGGGAGTGTTTAGCCTGGACAGGAGAAGGCTCGGCTCAAGGGGGTCTTAAATATCTTATAGGAGGGTATGAAGAAGGTGGAGCCAGGCACTTCTCAGTGGTGTCCAGTGACAGGCCAAGTGCTGGGTCCTGCACTTTGGTCACAACAACCCCATGCAATGCTACAGGCGTGGGGAAGAGTGGCTGGAGAGCTGCCCAGCAGAAAGGGGCCTGGAGGTGTTGGTCGACAGCTGGCAGAATATGAGCCAGCAGTGTGCCCAAGTGGCCAAGAAGGCCGGTGGCATCCTGGCTTGTATCAGGAATAGTGTGGCCAGCAGGCGTGGGGAAGTGATCGTACCCCTGTACTCGGCACTGGTGAGTCCGTGCCTTGAATACTGTGTTAAGTTTTGGGCCCCTCACTACAAGAAAGATATGGAGGGGCTGGAGCATGTCCAGAGAAGGGCAATGAAGCTGGTGAGGGGTCTGGAGCACAAGTCTTATGAGGAGCGGCTGAGGGAGCTGGGGTTGGTTAGCCTGGAGAAGAAGAGGCTGAGGGGAGACCTTATCGCTCCCTACAACTTCCTGACAGGAGGGTGTAGCAAGGTGGGTGTTGGTCTCTTCTCCCTGGTAACGGGCAATGGGACGAGGGGAAATGGTCTGAAGTTGCGCCAGGGCAGGTTTAGGTTCAACATTAGGAAAAATTTCTTCACAGAAAGGGTTGTCAAGCACTGGAATGGGCTGCCCAGGGAAGTGGTGGCGTCCCCATCCCTGAAGGTATTTATAAAACCAGTAGACGAGGTGCTCAGGGACATGGTTCAGTGGAGGGATGGCAGTGCTAGGTTAACGGTTGGACTTGATGATCTTAAAGGTCTTTTCCAACCTAAACGATTCTATGATTCTATGAGGCAGTGGCACAAACTGAAACGCATGAAATTCCATCTGACCATCAGCAAACACCTTTTTAATGTGAGGGTGGTAGAACACTGGAAAAAGTTTCCCAGGGAAGTTGTGAAGTCTTTAGCCTTGGAACTACTCAAAACCCAGCTGGGCACAGCTCTGAGCAACCTGCTTCAGCTGACTCTGCTTTGAGTAGGGGGGTGGACTAGACAGTCTCCAGAGGTCCATGCCAACCTTAGCTGTTCTGTGAAAACAGGCTGATCTCCCCAGTCAGCCTAGCTGTTATGCTCCATTTTTCTTGACCACTGGGGAAATCATGTGTTATTCCCCCATGGGGTCAGACCTTAGCAAACTGCACACATGCTGAAAACATGTACTCTTCTACAACTTCCAAGACTGTTTGGATATCCCAGTGGACTGCCCAAAAATTAGGACAAAATGAGAGACCTCTTTTTCATCTGAGCATGCATTTCAACTGTAACTTAAGTTGTTTGGAGGTTGAACTGGCATTCAAGTTATGTAGCTCATAATAGTTAAAAAGCTCAAAATAGCACACAGGAAGAATGTTAAGAAAATGCTTCAACCAACTTCTTAGTTTTTTCATTTTTGTACTTGCTAGAGATCGTTTTCTCCATAGTGAGGCAAATATAATTGGTACTGTGGCAAATACCCTGTCTGGGGCTTAGCAGTTCCTTGGGAAAATCTGACAACTCTGAAAAAAGTACTGTTAAGTCTCAATAAAAAAAACCACACAAATGATTAAGAATTATTGTAGTCATTTCATTGATGGACAGTTGGTAAGAGGAAGAACATTAGTAAGTTCTAATTAACAATAACGATAAAACCAGTGGTGGTTTTTGTTGTATAAAGGACTACAGAGAAGCATGAAGAATATTAATTAGTGCTATTCAATAGAAGTGTGTTTACATATCTGAGTCTAATCAGCACTGTCTTCCTAAATTGTCCTCTTCAATATTCAGGCAGTGTTTGTTTATTCTTTCAGAGGTTAAAAAAAAAAAAACAAACCCTTTTATTTCACACAGATGGAATTAAAATTCTGATGCACCAAGTAATTTTCAGTGGTTTAGGTTTCTCTTTTTGGTTTTAAAGAAACATGTAGTGCTGATTTTATTGCAGAAATAATGGCTCATATTGGATTTAAAGAGTTTAGAGTTAAGTTTTAAGAGTTAAGCTGACAGGCAGAAAAGTTTGCAATATCTCAACTCAGGTCCCAGTTTGAACAGTTAGACTGTTTGAACTATATAGAATACAGCTAATCAGGTGCAGACATATGTAACGTCACTGGCAAATATCTGTCCTCTCACCCTCACTCACCTGATTTGATGGGTATATTAGAAATGTTTAGATTTACAAGGTAACAGATCTGTTCTATAGCCTAATGGGATGAACACCATCCTGGGGTTTTTTTCTCCACTAACTACACAAGGAACCTGTAACATCAAGCTCCCCTGTAGATGCCTGTGTTGTAGAAGTCTACCTTTGGCCACAGCCATGTTTCCTCAAATTGTGTGAAAGTGTGTATATACACATGGTACTTCACTCAATGCAACTTTGGTCTAATACTGGGCTTCACATAATAAATGTCAGCATTTTGCTCTTCAGTACGGGCTTAGAGTTAAGCAATATTTAAATTCCAAAGAGCGATGAGCAGCCTTTGCCCTGGAACCTCATTTGTGTTCTATCAATCAGCTCTGTTTCAAATTCTCTGCTGACTTTCTCTAGCCCACTAAGTTCTGCCACATGCCTCATTCTGCTTCTTATTACTCCCTCTGCTAGATGCCTCTTCTAGAACAGCCAGCTTCCCAGAAAATCCTCTTCTAATAGCTCTTGGTTCTCTGAGTTCAGGCAACGTATAATAGTTCTCCCAAAATGCCCTTCAAAAACCTCTCTCAAATGTAGGTCTTGCAAGTTCTGGAGAGTTGTGTTTCCTGCCTTGGCATATCTTGTAATTAATTATTCTTCATATCTTTCCATCTCCGTAATAAAAAACCCAAAAAAACCCCCAGTTTCATTAATTTAAAGCTGCCCTGGGGATTCTTCTTGGATGATAACTTGGCTGGAGGAAGTACCTTATTCCAAATCTTACTTTCATCACCAAATTTTGGAAGATTAGTTGCAAAATTATCGATTAACACTAATTTGCAGTCACTGCACCAGGGAATAACAGACATGTTTTGTATTTATAAAATATTCAAGGCGCTCTCATTCACTTGGAACTTAAAGATGCTGAAATTGAATCAAGAAAAAGCAAACGATTGTGTGATACTGAATTGTGTTCCTAGTTACCTGCTGCATATCTCAGCGTTTCTGTGCAGTCGGTTCAGTAAGAGCATTTTGCAATGGGCAAACACCTCCTTCTGTTTTAGCAAGCAACACATTTTGAAGAAAGGCTTTGGGGGCATTATGTGATTCAAAAGAATTCCAGCTGAACTATAGTTTTCTTTATCTCAGTTTATGTGCCTTGAATTTGTGAGGTCATGTCTTACGGATTGCAACCTCACTGAGGCAACAAATATTCATAGAATCATAGAAACATAGAATGTTTTGGGTTGGAAGGGACCCCTAGAGGTCATCTAGTCCACCCCCCTGCAGGAGCAGGGACACCGCTAACCAGATCAGATTGCTCACAGCCCCGTCCAACCTGGCCTTGAATGTTTCCAGGGACGGGGCCTCCACCACCTCTCTGAGCAACCTGTTCCAGTGTTTCACCACCCTCATTGTAAAGAATTTCTTCCTTAGACCTAGTCTAAACCTACCCTGTTTTAGTTTAAAACCATTACCCCTTGCCTTGTCACAGCTGGCCCTACTAAAAAGATTTTCCCCATCTTTCCTATAGGCCCCCTTTAGGTATTGAAAGGCCCGTAATCAGATGTCCCCACAGCCTTCTCTTCTCCAGGCTGAACAAGCCCAACTCCCTCAGCCTGTCCTCATAGGAGAGGTGCTCCAGCCCTCGGATCATTTTTGTGGCCCTCCTCTGGACCCGCTCCAACAGGTCCATGTCCTCCTTGTGCTGAGGGCCCCAGAGCTGGACGCAGGGCGCCAGGTGAGGTCTCACCAGAGCAGAGCAAAGGGGCAGAATCACCTCCCTTGCCCCGCTGGCCACCCTGCTGGGGATGCAGCCCAGAGTACGGTTGGCCTTCTGGGCTGCCAGGGCACATTGCCGGCTCATGTCCAGCTTTTTATCCACCAGCACCCCCAAGTACCTAACTTGCTGAGGGTGCACTCGATCTCGCTGTCTAAGTCATTGTTGAAAACATTAAACAGCACCGGTCCCAGTATGGACCCCTGAGGGACGCCACTCATCACCGGTGTCCATCCGGACATCGAGCCATTGACCACTACCCTCTGGACGCGACCATCCAGCCAGTTCCTTATCCACCGAACAGTCCACCCATCAAATCCATAGCTCTCCAATTTAGAGAGAAGGATGTTGTGGGGGACCATGTCAAAGGCTTTGTAAAAGTGTAAATCTGCATCTGTCTCCATGGTCTCCTTGGCTCAGGAATTACCCTTGTTTTCATGTCTCCAGTGGCACTAAACTTAATTTTGTCACAAGGTGAACATAGGGAAGGCATAATTTTTGCTGTGGAGACTTGTCATGTGGTACCCACAAGAGGGAAGAAAACTCTCAGACCCTACTTCCTAAGGGATCTGGAGCTCCAGTAACCTAAACCTTAAAGCATTATGATAGCAAAGTTGTTTCTGCTTGGTGGAACCAGGATCTAGATCATGTGGCTGTATTTGTAATATTAAATTAGCTAGGCCTGGAATTATTCCTGGGGCTGGAGTCCAAATAGCGTGGAGTAGTTCACATCCATATCATTAAACCCTCTTGGCCTCCAAATCAGGGTAGCTGTAGTTTTTAGACTATTGGGAATGTCCTCTGGCTCCTGCTAGCTCCAGATTTGTTCCCCAGGAATGGTTTCAGAGTTGGCTGTTGTTTGGCCTGGGCCAAAACTGCACTGGGGAAAATGTAATGGCATAAACAATTGACTCCAGACCTGGGCCCAGTTTCTGATTCATTTAGTGACATAAATATAACTGATTTATTACTCTCAGTTAAGAGAACGAACGTCAGTACGGGTTGCTGTGAAATCACAGGCTTAGCCTGTTGTATAACACAGCAGGGGGAAAAACACTTGTAATTAGTAGAAGTGAAAGTCAAGCCAGCACTCAGTCACACATGACACACCCAGGCTCTCTGCTAGTTTGAAGCCCTTCAGTTTACCTGTGGTTTCACTTAACCTGAGTTGGTTTTTTTTGCTTCTTACAGGTGCTGGTTTGGAAAAGAGCCAGGGAAATATATCGACTACATATATCAAGGGCCAGTGATTCTTGTTCTTCTGGTAAGCACGTATGTGGGTGGAAGGACACTGCCATCTCCCATTGAGAGATAATTTCATAGGCATCTGTGATGTTCCAGAGCTACTTTTATGTAAAATAAGACACAAACAAGGTCAAACGTCTTCAGCTGTTCTCTGAAGTTGCCACAGTAGTTAGCTGACTGCAAGTCAGAATTGCAGTGATCTGGTTTTGGCTGTTTCCTTGACCTTGGGCCATTCTTTCCTCCTCCCTCTGTAACGTTGTTTGCCTTCCTTTGTACAATGTTTTGAGACGTGGGAAGGAAAAATGTTCAAAAACAGGAGGTATGTTACAATATCTGCTCATCCACTTGAGGCTCTTGAGAACTAGGGCAATTCCATCGTGCACATTGATTAGAAAAATGTGGTAATCATGGTAAGGAATTTCATCTCCTTTTACAGTCATCTACATCTTCTACATCCCCATCATTGCTGTGTATTTGCTAGCTTTCCTGTTGTTAAGTTTCCTTTTCAGGGCCACCTACAGTTAACAGGCTGTTTGTCTGTTTACCCAACACTGTCTCCTGTGCCAAGGAACAGTAGGCAGAGGAAGGAGGGAAGCTTATTCATAAAGCATTTTGAACCTTCAACTAAAGTGCAGTAATGCTTTCCCAGAAAATACTGGGGATGGATGGAAAAGATCGAGGCTATTAGAAAGGACAGTGCTGAAAATCCCAGTTCTACCCTTCCACTCCCTTGTAGTAAAAGCCACCTAGGAGTAAGGCAGATGTCCTAACAGAGAATTGACAGGGCTCAGTGGGGGAACCAAGGGCTCTCTTAGGGAACCAAGACTCGGTATCGTTGTCCCTTATGCCACTCCAACACCCATAGAGAAGGTGCAAATGCTCTGGAATAGGCAGCCACTGCCAGCTTTTTCAAGGCTAAGAAGCCTTGTGCTCTCACCTTGTCAGTGCTGTGCCTTTCATGTGATTCAGCGTGAAGAAAGCTTCTCTGTTGCCCAGGAAGCCAGCTACTAATCTGAATGTTTCCTAACCTGAAATCAGGAGAGTTAATTCCTGTGTTAATTGTTAAGATGCAGCAAACAGATTATATCGTGCGTAGCTGAAAAGAGAAAAAAAAACATAGTAGGAGTCTGTTTTCATGTAAGAATTACTTTATGTTCTAAGGAGAGAAATACAGTTGGTGTGATACACACAATATAATTGTGTGTCACCAAGGGAGCCATCCAAAAAACACAAACAGCGTCACCACAAATTGACTCACTGGTACAAAGACTAACTCACAAACAAACCCTATTTAGACAACACAAGGTAGCAGGTTTGGAATACTCAGAGCATTTTATTTTCACATCATTGCCCTAGAAGGCTGTAAATCTATAAATCTACCATAACCCCTTTAGTCCACAAGATCTGTAAAATCCTTGGATAGCACCTCTGGCAGATACCATAGGTAGCTTAGAGTCATGAAAATAGCTTTGTTCTCCCCAGAATGGGACTTTCTGTTTAAAGACCCCAAAGAGGTACAGAAAATGGAGGTACTATTGGAGGCTGCCTTTTTATATATAGGTCATTGTAACTGTCTCTAATTTAGAGCAGCCTTGAGACCCCTCTAAACTGAGCCAATAACTATATTGCCCTGAACTGACATCATGTATTGAACCTTTCGACATCAGCCTGTGCTTGAGCTCTAATTAAACCATTAATGAGTTAATAGTAATTGCACTGTGGGGTGGAAAGCAGCTGATACAATTTAGAGGAGTAAGTTAAGGGCAAGCCCTCCTCTCCCTCTCCTTATGGTTGCTCCCATCAGAAAGCACTGCTGGGTGAGGAAAAGAGCTCTCTGGAAATATAGTCTAAAAGGCAAATCTGAAAACTTCTGTTACAATACGTTCCTGATTGCTGAAATGTGCCCCCTCTCTTTTTTTTTAAACTGTCACTCGAGTCTCATGTTTATAATTAAAATACACAACTCCACAGTGTGTTAAAGCAACTTGACAGGCTCATTTTTTGATCCTTCTACAAATAAAATCAATAATGACTCAAGCATCACTTATTATTATTGGCATTACTGACCCTTTCAGGGGTGCTGTGAGAAATGTTGGATTAACAGCGCTGAAGTTTGACGTCTACCATGTACTCAGGGCAACACAGTCAAACATCACCCCCTCCCAGTACGTCAGTGTGCCTCTGCCTTCACATACATGGGGACAAATGCTTTCCTCTTCCGTCCGGTGAACAGTGGTCACCAGAAATGGAAGACACAAAGATTTCCAAAATAGTACAACTCTGTGACCTCTTTAAGTCACAGCTGATGAGTTGGATTTGAACTAATGAAGAATTAAAATGTCCAGCTGAAGTTCATGTTTTATGAAAGAAAATACAGGACAATTTTGTGAGAGAACTATCCTGGGGTACTGCTGGAAAGGTAAAGAGACATCAATGTTACTAGAAGAAATGAATGTTATTTCCAAAAGAGGGCTTACCCTTAAAAACTAAAAGTCTAAAAGCACCATCGAATTTCAGTCCCCATCCACATGTGAGCATTCTGATTGTGGCTGGTTCCACCTACTTTGGTTAGTTAAGAGCCAATTGCTCAGCTCAGCTGAGTTTTGGTTACCTGTTAGACAAAATCTAGCACATCGTTCATGTGTTCAAGAGGCATCATTATACCAGCTAGGGGCAATACGATTTAAGTGCTCTTATTAAATATCTTAGTTCCAGAGGGCTAAAACCTGCTTCTAAAGATGCCGAGTCTCTTTAAAAGATAGGACGATTTTGTCTGTCAAAAATTATTTCCACTGGCTTTGGTTTTTCATTTCCTTGCCTTTATGCATTGAACTGCTGCCACACAAGACAACGTAACACCAAGAAATGGGTCATGTGGAAATTTTGAGTTTCGCTGGGAAAAGCAGAGTAGCCAAAAACAAAGCCCTTCAATTGTGGTAGCAGTCTTCAAGTCCATCCTTAAACCATATTCTTCTCTGTTACATATCTCAGGGTACAAAAACTTTGAACGCTGCAGTAGAGACATTTGTTTCATTGCTTTCCTACTTGTCATTAGAAAAAACCTGAACATTGACTTGGGCTGAAAACAAGGGAACTATTTCAGAGACAATTTCAGAGGCAAAGGAAATTGGATCTGAATGCTGATCCTGAACATTGGGCAAGAAACCTGTGTTTTTATTGACAAAAAATGTGAGGGAGAAAAAGTAGGGAATCATCCTTCTTTGTTTCATTCCTGAAAGGATTTTGGCTTGAACACATCACAGGAGAGATCTAACATTGGATGCTTTGAAATTCAATTTCTGATAGCACTAGAAAAATACATTCTTAGGTATTTTCTCTTCAAATTAGTGGCTGGTTTTTGTTTTGGTTTTGTTTTTTTTTTAATTCTGGTGTCTTTCCTCAGAGAGCCATAACCAAGGGTTACTCATACATCCCTCTCTGAAGGTAAAAAAGGGGCAAAGGGTTGGAAATACATGCCAAGGAACTGAATTTCAGCCTGATTTTATTAAGAAGAATACATTTCTTATGTGCAATCTTAAATGTAATCCCTGTCAAAGAACGAGTGGACCATGAAAACACAACAAGATTAGAGCACAAACCTTAGCAAACAGGCACCGGAGGCAGTTAACTGAGCTGCTTTTTTTCTCAGTAACCACTGTTGTGAACTGACCCCAGATATGAACCGCGCTGCAATGTTTCTCAGAGCTAAAACTGTATTAGAACTTCAGTTTTTCAGAGAGATCAAATATTTAGTTTTTTGCAAACCTTACATTCAGCCTTAATAGATTTTTTCCCTTGTGCTTGAGAACTGAACGGTTTTCCAACCTCTGCTTTTTGGGTCTCATTGAAAGTAATTCACCGCAATCAATTAACTGCTGGCATAAGTGGGTATATGTGCTGATAGAAGGACCTGGAGTCCACTTCTGTCTGTGCCTTCATCAGCTATTTACTTCTGAACAAGTTAGATTGCTGCTCTAGGTCTCAGTTTCCCCAGCTATAAAGCAACCTTAATGATACTTATCTTCCTTTGTAAAATGCTTTGAGATCCCTGGATGACAAGTGCTGTCGAAGAGTTAAGTGTCCTTAGGAAGATGGGCTCATCCTTATTGCCATGTGGAATTTTGCTCTGGAGATAGCTGACGTGAGCTGAAGTGGTCTTTATGATGTGCTAATCAGTAATGATGTAGCATTTTTGTGGTGGCAAGATCAAAGCTTGCCCCAGTACTCGAGATGTGACCACACAAATGGATTTTTATAGCAGCATCCTGTTCTCTGTTTTGTTTTCTTTTTCTTTCTCATCATTCCCAAAAATTTTTTGTCTCCTTTCTTGAGTGCCACTGGGAACTGAGATGAAGTCTTCAGGGAGCTAGTTAGCGTAATTCCAGCATTTCTTTTGTGAATTAAAATACCCAGAGCTCATAACTCTTCACGTAAAGTTAAGATTGCTTTACCTCCCCATTGTGTTACCTTTATAGCATGTGATTTCATGTGCCATATTATTGCCTGGTCACTTAGGATTGTGAGACCCTATACAGTTCTTTGCAATCAGCTTTTATTTTTGCTACCCTGAGTAGCTTCGTGTCACTAAAAAGCTGTCAGCCTTCTTCATTCCCTTTTATAGATCACTAAGGTCTATGTAAAACAGCACAGATCTACCATAGCCTCTCTCCACTGAGAAAACAGACTCTCTCTCTCTGTATATATATTTATTCCTACCCTTTCTTTCTTCTGTCTCTATACAAAATGATCTTCCCTCCAAACATTTAACAGCCAAATTTCTATAGAAGCCTTTGGAGAAATATATATATATATATTCCTACCCTTTCTTTCTTCTATCTCTATACATAATGCTCTTCCCTCCAAACCTATAACAGCCAAATTTCTATAGAAGCCTTTGGAGAAACAAATTTGAATTCCTTTCAGAAACCTGAGTAGACTGTCAGCTGGATCCCCCTTGTCCCCGTGCTGACTCTTTTAGAGGACTTCACAAACAACATAATTCTTCCCCTTCACACCTTA